GGTCTTAGACGGGGAAGTACTGGTGTTCGATCAACGTAGCTACTTGAGGCACTCAAGTAACATTTCCGAATTTGTTAGTATGATAGACGAGACGGAAAGACTGTCCGATTCCTTTCCACAGTCGCATATGCGCAAACTACTAGACGTAGATACAGATCACCTTAGAACATTGTTGTCCGTTCTTCAAGTGCATCACAGATTTGCACGAAGCCTCGATTTCTTAGGCACTGCCTTGAAGGTTGTTGCTGGCACCCCTGATGCTTCAGATTTCTTAAGGATCCGCGTTACAGAGACGCAGTTGGTGGAGGCTAACTCCAAACAGATACTAATAAACTCCGAAACTCAAAAACAAATAAACAGACTAACGGACACTATCAATAAAATTATCAGTTCCCGCAAAGGCGATTTGGTTGACACTCCTCATTTATTCGAGACCCTGTTGGCAAGAAATAGAATACTGAACACAGAAATTCAAAATTTAGTACTCACCATAACGTTGGCAAAAGCAAGCATAGTAAATCCTACAATCCTTGATCATACCGATCTAAAATCACTTATCGAACAAGATACCCCAATAGTTAGCTTGATAGAAGCTTCTAAGATCAAGGTCCTTCAGTCCGAGAATATTATCCACATATTAATAGCCTACCCTAAAGTTGAGTTTAGGTGCCAAAAGGTCTCCGTCTACCCCGTTTCACACCAACAAACCATTCTGCGACTCGACGAAGACACGTTGGCGGAATGCGAAAAGGATACCTTTGCAGTTACTGGATGCACCGTAACTACGCATAACACCTTCTGCGAACGAGCACGGCGCGAAACCTGTGCTAGCTCCCTTCACGCGGGAAACATCGCCAACTGCCACACTCAACCTAGCCACCTGAAAGCGATAATGCCTGTAGATGACGGCGTCGTGGTTATCAACGAAGCGACAGCGCGCGTCCGAACAGATGATGACGCAGAGGTAACCGTCTCAGGAACCTTCCTGATAACTTTCGAACGGTCTGCAACTATCAATGGCACAGAATTTGTAAACCTGCGCAAATCACTAAGCAAGCAGCCTGGCATCGTGAGGTCACCGCTCCTAAACATCATCGGACATGACCCGGCACTAAGCATACCACTCCTGCATCGTATGAACATCAACAACTTGCTATCAATTCGAGATTTCAAGGAGGAGGTAGTTGCGGCTGGCTCGCCTAAATTCTGGTTCGCGATTGGCGCGGTCCTGAATGTCGGACTAATTGGCTCATTCTTCCTTTTTCTGGTGCTAAGGAAAAGACGAGCCTCCATGCAGATGCAGAAGGCGATTGACAAATACGACATGCCCGAGGACGGCCATCATCCTGAGGGGGGGGTAGTTAACAACTAAGCATAAATATATTGCCCTAGCAATTAAGTAGCTTCGTATTAACAATGCTGACGCGCCAGAACTGAGTTCAGCGCTCTGCGCTAAGAACGGCCAGCAGCGGTAAGCTGACACTGCATGGAATGCTGAGTCGGCTTGCCGACCATGCTTTGATGGCGTGATGCATTGAGGCTTAGGGTATTTGTATAATTTGCTTGTCCCCTAGTTTTTAGTTTTATATGAAGCGCGCAACACATAAGTCGCCGAAATAAATATACTGCTCCGGCATTGCCGATAAAACATATCTTTCGTAATATTACTGGATCAAGGAGAACATATTTTGATCAAGGGCAGCGCGGGATCAACGCAACTTACCCAAGATAACATTGTGTTACATCGCAGAACATACATTAATGAATAACTTATATGTACTTGTAGATAGGCTGGCAAATATGCAACGTAAGTACACAAATGATGATATCGTACAGATCGATATAACATTATACTTAGGTATCTAAAGCAGAAACATGACACTGAAATGTTCAGTTATTGATTATACAATATATATATATATATATTATGTAACGATACAATTTGCACAAGGTTTATTTTTAGATGTTTTCAGTTTTCGAAACTAACACTAACAGCCAAGTCAATCATATATCCAGCTCTTACGGACACTTAATTTAAAACGAAAAGTGAATTTAGTCTTTAAAAACAGACTTAGCTGTAATAACTATAAATTAAATTAACTAAATGTTCTATACATTTATATTTAGAGAGTATATTTTCGAATCCCTGTTGTTAATAACATAAATGCAGATTACGTTTAATTTGATTTATTCATTTATTGTTTCAAACACGAAATCGTATCGCCCTGGGCGATTTCAAGATAACAAGGAACTAATTTGCACTAGTTTGTCTTGTTTTTTTATTTTGTTTTTTTTTATTGTTTTTCAAACTAGATCTACCATAGAACAATTCGCAACGTTTTATTTGCACACTTTGGCCCCTTTGCGGCACAACATGCTATGTATAAAGTTCTCAAAATTTTTATATGTTAAGAAAAAAAAAAATAAATAAAAATAAAATGCTGCATGAAACAGATCGAGTCCATAACTAAATGAGCATATCTCTCAAATATATTATTATATTTGTTATAGTGTATATATAGAAGCAGAATGTACTGAATTTACAATAAATGTACATTAAATTAAATGATAATTACCAAAAAAATATTATTCGATTTCGATAACTAAAAGGCATTGTGACGATCTACACATAATGTCATATTGGTCGTACTTCGTATACACTATTATTTGATTACACAATATGTATATCTAATAAAGAACTACTAAAAATTACATCACATCACAATTTTTGTAATCAAACCCTTACAAATTGAATTGGTTTTTTCCGCGTTTTTTCCTAGAAATGACTCTTCAAAATAGGACACGAAAAAGAAATGTAATCACAGGATAATGTAGTAAATGATATTTGGATAGGAACTGACCAAAGGCGGAAAGGCCATCTAAGTTTAACTGCTTTTATAATAGATTTGAGAGGAAAATGAATAAGTAGAGTTCAGCAGGAAGCGCTGTTTAAATCGTTACTTATTATCTACGAGGGCCAGATGAATAATCTCCTCAATAAATCAAATCACAGGTATGCTTCTTAAATAACAATTTTGATCTGTAATTATGTGTGTAAATATTTTGACCCTGTATGCATTTTGAGTTTGGGACAGTCTTATGTACAATATGTACATATATAAAACATCAACTTTGAACTAAATATCCCAACAATAGAATATAGATCGTGCTTGTACATTTTGAAATACGCTCACTTTAAATCTAATTATAAAGGAAACAAAAATATATATATCAATTATTAATAACTTATGTGTTACATTTTATAACTGGCTTATTCACTAGTTAATTGTTTGTGTATGTACAATATATATACACGTGCAGCTAAAAGTAAAAACAATTTCTATTAATTTACTAAAAGACCAATACAAATACGATAGCAGCGCTTTTCACTTTAAAATCCATCTCATTAATTTGATGAAGTAGTCCTGCAATTTTACAATTACAAAACATTGATTGTAAATTGGTTGACACAATTTTGTTAACGTAACGTGTGGGAAAAATTACAACAATAAAAGCTATAAATCATATGATTAGATATAATTTCGTAATTTAAATTAAAAATGAATATTTCATGAAAGTTATTTAGCTTTTGACTAAATGGGATAAAAGATACTGTGATGGGGGAAAAAAAGGACTACTAAACAGTAGGAAAATCTGGGTGAATTATTGTTGTGTTCACAATTTTTTATATGATAATAAGTTGAAGGTGAATATAGCCAAGATAGGCTTAAATATCTGAAGTGTGTTTTGTGTTTATTAAATTTGTAAAAGCTTGTCAACAAATTTATATGTCTAACGAATACTACCACAACTAAGAATTGAATGTGCATACATACATATGGACGAAAGTTTTTGAAAAATAGATCAATTATTATCAATTATTTAATACCGATTCTGACCTTGAATATAGTGTCCCAAAAATCTGCTCGTTTTTTTTTTTTTTTTTTTTTTTTTTTATAAAACAGCCATGTCTTAGTATCGATTTATTCGTTTTCTTTAAACAAGGTAAAATACTTACTAACTAACTAACTTGATAATATGCATTTGTAAGTATATATATTAATACAAACGCGGACCTATCTCTACTTAAAAACATAGAAAACATAATAGCTTTTAAAGATAACTAGTGTATTGTATTATATTAGTGTTAGATACTAAATGCCAATTAATTACTTGTACTTGTTAGAAGTCACAATTTATGTTATATTGAGAGAACAACTGAAACTGAATTACGTTCTTACTTTAATCAGTACTTTTCACCTATACACAAAATTAATGAAAGTTAAAAAAGAAAAACACAATATTTACGATTTGGTTTTTGGCAAGGGCTATTCTTCAATAAATAAACTTTAATTTACGTTTGATCAGTTAACCAGCAGTTATAGAGATTGTCTATCATTTTATATTTAAACAATTTCTTGAAACAAGCTATGTAGAATATAGATAATCTTTATACTCATTTAACGAAAAACCTAATTTGTTGGTTGTTTATAATATGATACTTAAGCACAATATACGACTTATAAGAGTAAATGTTCAATATATTCAGTATATTTGGATTAAATGCCTCTACATACATTAATTTCAATAAGAACAATTCGATTCTACCTATTTGTATACATTTGTGATTCTTGCAACTGTGCATTTCGAGCATTTACGTAGAGAATCTATGGGGTCAACAGATAGAACTTACGACAGTAAAGAGCACGACAGCGCCAATAAAATGATTGTATAGCTCGCCAACAGCCCTCAAATTCAATAGAGTTAAGAACGTAAATGTAAATTATTTGTAATTAAACAGTTCTCCGCTTTTACTATGTACTTAGTTTTATATTCATTGGCATCAATGGATATGTATTTGGTATATCTGGATTTTATAAAAACCTCTTAATTTTGTTTTGTTTTTATTTTTTTTTTCGTATGTGTTAGGTGTAAATATGAGTTGTGAGTACTACATATGGAGTACAATTTTACAGTCTTAAAATTATTTAAAAACTTACCTTTTTGGCAGGCGGCGCTGGAACTTGCAAGTGATATTTATTTTGACAATAGTCGCGTAACAATGCAATGCCTTCTGTACGGTTATTGGCGTAACGTGACTCCCACGCGTCTAATAGACGATTATAATAGCGTGGGGTGTCATTGTATTTAAGATATTTGTAGGTCTGGTCTGTGGGAAAGATACGCTCAAGTGGCGCACAACGTGCTAGCTCATCCTCCGCCACAATTAGGCAGCGTACATCATCGGGTGTCAGTTTATGAAGTATTGCATCGATGTACTTATATAAAAAACAAGAAGATTTGTAGATTTTTATATCTGAATAGATGTTTTGGTAATTGTTAATCTGAATACCTCCTCACGATTCTCAATGGTTTTTCGTGTAAAATTATTATGCTTATTCTTTTCTTCGCGCGACAGATAGTTAATGTATAAACGCTTATCGTAGCACATTTGGGTACCAGGTGGAAATGAAAATTCGGCGGCTAGCTCCCTTTGCTTTTCAAGACTCAGTTTTGGTGGTATCTAAGAAAAATAGTTGTATATTAATAATTGTATGTAAATAAATGTGGCGGCCGCTTACATTATATAGGGCAGTGTTGAGAACACCTTGTACCAGCGGCGCTTTAACATGGGCGTCCAGTGGCAGTTCTGAATGTAAACTAGGTGATATATTGACCTCCAGGAGCCAAGGTACCAGATCGGAGTCCAGTATCACATCAAAGCCGAACAGTTCAAAGCAACTATACTTGGACTCCACATTTGCTCTAATCATGCTGTTAATGCCATTCTCTCCGGCTAAAATAGTGCGCAAAACAAGACTCCTTAAGGCTTCCCAGAGGCCATCGGTGCGCACGCCACGATTAGCCAAATATGTCCATAACGACTTAATGGTCCACTTGTGTCCATGACATGCATTCACATCCTCATTCTTCGAGTAGTTTGATGAAAACTTGTTAATGCTATAGTTGGTTAAATGCATACAGCGATCATTCAATGTATCCGCTTTGGCACTGTATTTTACTGTGGTTTGGACAGAGTTAAGTAAATACTTGAACTGCTTTAAGAAATAGCTTACCAGAAGCAAATCTAGCTAGACCATTGTGATACATAAACACTCTCAATGGATTAACAGATGTAACCAGTACATACAGGCGCAGGTCGAATTTACTGCCATTAATTAGCAGCGGACGTTCAATGTATCTAAAAATATGAACAATTAAATATATAATATATATATAATAAATAATACACTCACTTCTGCACGATGAGTGGTCGTCGTTTGGGTATCTGACCCCAACGGTTGACCACGCGTATGCCAGCACCACGGGCACTCGCCGGCGGCTTTATAATCCACTTTGTATTGCGTTGCGCGTATTTTGGCCAGCGTTTGCGCAATGCACAAAGATCATTTGGTATTACATAGGTGCGCGGCATAAAGCCAAACTCCCTGTTGCTATGTTTCTTCATTTGTCGTTGCAAATTCTTCCAGCACGAATCCTTACGGCCAATGCGAAAAGAGCCTGGCAAGTGATTTATCTTTTGATACGAGCGAATTGTTTTAAAACATGGAGACTTTAAATGCTTGCCCCACACGCCCATCCAGTCGTTTGTTTCTAAAAGCTCTCAAATTACAATATTTCTTATTATTTTTATGGCATTAAATACTTACTTTTCAACATTCGCATGCCACTATTTGCCAATATGAGTCGTACAACTTTTGGCATAATATTTGTTACACGCCATTTCAACACCCTATGCAGCTCTGGGGGCACATAGGGGCCTTTTTTGGTGTTCGATGAAAATGAGAGATAGGGTGGAACATATGGAAAGAGACTTGATACCAGTACCGAATCTGGATTTCTTAAGTCTTCGTCGGATGACTGAGTTAAGAGCAATGTTGACGAATTTTTCGACGATGACAGTAAACGGTCTCCGGAATGCGTCAGTTTATATGCATGTGCCCTATAACCGTCTTCAGTGTCCGAGCTAATACTAACCGTATCACTCTCATCAAAGTTTGAGACTGTAATTGCAATTAAATCATTGAAGTTTTTGTAAGTGTTAATATAATAATACTTACTGTTATCTAAATCGTCATCATTATCGTAATCGGGGTCACGAAAATCGTTGAGTTTAGCATCTGGATCTTCTAAAATATAGCTAGTGACTTGATCACCTGCACCTTGACCTTTGGGATGTGGGGGCTTTACGTTTTGGCTGCGTGAATTAGACGAGTGATGCTTACGTGCCGAACGGGGGCTCTGATTATTATATAAGAGTACTCGATGAACCGTGGGTAATAGCTTCTTGGCAGTCGCTTGTCCACCTCTGATTCTTTTGGGTGTCAGTGGCAGTCGAGGCAGCGGCAGAGGTTCGGTGGCTTTTTGTGTTTTCTTTGTTAAATTATTCTTAACTGACACGGATTCTCCTGTTTTGTTGACTTCATTGATATCGCCCAGTTGAATGCAGCGACGATGGATTGGCATACTCGGATCGAATTGTTCATCGTTGTTTGCTTTTGGATCATAAACATCTTTTCCATTAAGTATTTCTACAGGTGTTTTCAAAACAGACTTTTCTGGCCGGTCGACAGGGTAATCAATCCAATCGCTATCACTATAGCCAAATGGCAATTCATTATTCTCTTTTAATAAATAACTATCATATTCTAAGTTTTGGTTATTATCATTGGCTGTGCCTCTACGCTTGGCATTGGACGAGCGTTTACTCGGTGTATCCTGAAATAAGCTCATTTGTGGTTTGTACGCCGCACTTGGTGAGGATTTTGTTAACTTCTCTTGGCCACGATTGTAAAAGTACGAGAAATAATGCTCGTAATGCTGATCGGTCGAATGGAAACGTGGAGGTTCAGAGCTATAAATGTGGAAAGTTAGAGCTTGAGTCAATTTCATATCTCAAAAGCGTTTTTAACTATTTCTATGCAATGTGTTTTTGTTTCTAAAAAAGTATAAGGCATAAAAACTGGGTAGCGGTTAAATTAAAAATAACAACAATCAAATAAATAAAATGTGTCACATTTAGTGTTTAAGCTGGATATTAAGCACGGGGATATTTTTACAATTACATTATAGTACTCCATGATTGCTCGATCGCAGGTGATCTGTGGCTGTGCGAGTATGTCGAGCCCTCGTCCAAATATTCACAAGTACTGTTAGCTCTTATCTGCCGCTTGAGTTGATCCTTGTCATGGGATGCTTGCGAATACTTTGCCAACTCCTGGTTGGCAGGCGCACTATTACTATGTCCATAATGCCGCCCCTTGTGCTGTGTTGGAGCATTGTAATAGTCTGCCTGTTGTCTCGCCTGCTGATACACGTGGCTATTGTTGTTGGCCGCTGTTTTCCGCGGCGCAAATGAGCTTGAAAATGTGTTCGCGTAGGGTCCTTGATCTGGTACTAAATAGTTAGATCTGCTTATTTGTCTTGATGCCGTACTATTTTTAGATGGACTTGGATTTGATGAACAATTTGGACTCTTCAAATTCCAAAATGGACTTATTACGCTTCCGTTCTTATAATAATTAAATGCATTGTTATCAACGCTGCAATATCGCAAATTATGCTCATTGTGGCTATCGTTGTTGTTGCTAACATTGTTGTTATTTAAATACTGAGTGGACTGGCTCTTGTGGTGCATTTCAGGCGCTTTTCCATAGACTTCTGAGCCGTTATACATAAACATATTACTATAATATTAAAGGTACACACGCTTGCACCTGGTGGATAAAAAAAGAGCACAATTATTGTGTAATGATTTAAAACATTAATGCCTGCTTGGGGATTTTATGGTATACTCTTGCAAAAAATACTTCTTATTCGTCACAAAATATGTAATACCCAGAAGGAGACATCTTCCGACCTTTTACAATACATTGTTTCTTTATATGTGTGTCTTTACATACTTAAGTTGTCTATTTACACACTATCAAATAACCTGAGAACCAATTGGTAAAGTCAATTATGAATAACATACATGTAATTCTATTATCAAAATCAGAATCGGACTGCATTAGCTTACAGCTCCCGTTGGAACAATCGTTATATAATTGAAACACATTTTTGTCTGCGATGGTATTTAATCTTCGAAACTTCCTTTTTAATAAATAATACTTTGACGAAATGTTCACACCGGTTTTGTTTAATATTAGGCCTTCCTTAGAAATTAAGGAAATACATTTTGCCGCACAATATGCAAAATAAATATATTTCTTTACTTCCTGGATTATTCTATAGGTATCTTAAGTATACAACTATAAATAGGTGTTACCTACATATGTACATTTACATATTACGCCGACTCTTTAAAAATGTACATAAATATTTAAAAATGTATGTATTATTCTTTAATACTATGTAAGCAATTTGAATGCTGGCACTGCTTAAGCAAAAAAATTAGATTATAGATTCAATTTTGGAAAACTTACCGCGTTTAAGTTCTGTGACCTTCACTTTTATGATTTGTGCTACTTTTTTGCAAGCAAGAATCAGCTGGCGGTGTGTTGGGGTTGTTGAATTTAGGTCACAAACATGATATCCTTAAGCGAGGTGTTGTAACTCCTTTGCACACTGTGTTGGGGCAATCACAATGAAATTTCCAATCGCAAACAAAACGTTGTGACACAATCTCAACGCAATGCAAAAGAATGGTTAAAAGATTTTATATGTACCTAGAAAATGAGCGAGTTGAATCGAAGCCGAACTGCATGTAAATTCACAATAAACTTTTTACCGCTATTACTATATTTGATGGTCCAAATGAATGCAAATGTATTAAATTTGTATACGTAGGTGCTTAAATTGTGTGTGTTAAACGTGCCACTTATAACTATGAAAAATAAAGTTTTAATTTTGATGTAAATATCAATTGTAGATAGAGCAAACAAAACAAAACACACACAAAACCTGCGACCTCAACACGTGTAGTTCAGTTCTGAACAATAAATTTGGTTCATTGCTCGGAACAAGCAATGAAGAACTAGTATTGCTCATTCACCTGTTAACTTAACAGTCTGTTAACTGTGAGTGATGAAAACAAAATTTCGTTTACAGGATTTTTTGCCTACTTTTCTTTAGTTTCCCAAAAAAATGAATGTTTTATAACTGAGCATTTAATTTATTCTACCGCTTGTCATTTTTACGGCTTATACCGTTAACAGCCAACAAAATCCCAATTCACTATTAAGTAGTGGAAGTTCATAACTTTCCATTTAAAAATTGGATAAACAATGTCTAGAATAAGATTGCACATACATTTAATTATAACATTTAAAATAATTTTACTCGTTTACAAAAGCGTTTAAAAATAATTTAAGTGTCTACATGTTTTTCTGCTAGGGCTCAAAAACTGAAATGAAGATCAATTACCTATAAATAATCATACCTACAAATTCTTAATTAGTTGAAAAATGTGACTTAATAAATTCGTTTCTATTACGTTGTTCCTCTATAGTCGATGTACCATGAGCATAACTTAAAAAGTTGGGCTTGTAGACAGATACGCAACTATCAGCATCTAAAAATTGAACAGTTTTAATGAAGGTTTAAAAAATGTATATTAATGGGAATACCTATGCTAGGATCATTCCACTCCATTGCCATGTTATGGAGAACGGCTAATGCGGTAATTGTCTGTTTTGCGGAACCAAATGTTCCTAAGAGTTCACTGCCGAGAATGCCGAAGCGACGCATCCAAACGTTTAGGCATTTTATTGCCGGCGCAAAGGTGATTGCATGTGCATGATTATAGAGATCCTCAGATTTAGTTTTCGGGTACTGAACGGGAGTGAAGAGGCAGGGGGAGCAAGACAAAGAGTCATTTCCAAGCAGAATGCGTCCACGGAATTCATTTTGCTCGAAACGTTCCTTAATCCTCGATAACGAAAACAATTCTGGTGCTGTGCTCAGATCAAGCTCCTCAGAAAGACGTATATCCAGATCTCTGATTTTATGCTCTGCATCTGCAACTACCTGTAAATGCACAAGTTCCTCAATTGGCGCGGGCGACTCGGTTCCACTATAGCAACTCCTAGAAGCCTGGACCCGGGAACTGTCCAATTGCAAACGCACAGTGGTTTGCACGAGAGCTCCAATTACTTGGGGCATATTGGATAAGGATTGAAATGAACGCATCATTCGTTCCTTTTCCGAAAGGGTTGCGGGCATTCTAATATAACTTGATGCCTTTGACGATAATACAGCAGCAACACGACGCGTTATCTTGGCCATAGTATGCAGACTAACGCCATGCGCCATGGCTGATAGGTGAGGGTGCTAAAATTGAGACTTAAGTTAAATGTTTATGTATTCGGTACTTGAAAGGAAACTTACCTCAGTGCCGCCGAAAAAACGAATTGCCGATAAAATTTGCAAGTCTATGGGCACTTGGTTTCTTTTCATTGGCGCATAATAGTCAACTTCCAAGTCATCTCGCACAATTTCAATAATTCGTCGCATGTTTTCTTTTGTGTACCGGTATTTTTTACGAAATTCAATTTCGTTCATTTCCTCTAATGGATTGAACCGCGGACGCCTCCTCTTTACTTTGTTAATTGTTCTTCCTTTATTTGGACTGCAACGTTTATTATGCACGTGCTGTAGTTCCAAATCCTTAAGATGTTTCACATCTTTCAGAAACTGTTGAAATACGTTTATATCGTCCATTTCTGATAACAAAAATTGTTTTCGACTTATCCTTTTCCAATTGCGTTTTTTCTGAGTTCATTAAAAGAAGAAGAATTTTCTGTAACCATAACATTTAGAATTCTGTTATTAACAGCATCCTATCAAAATTATTTTTACGCTATCGAGCAAATTATCGAAAAGCCGCTTCAAACAGTAATAGCCCTAAATTTGATATCGATTATTGTGTTCAGCATTCAAAGTTCGGATCCTAATCATTCGGATCTTTCGTCTTCTGTCGTGAAGACGTCGTTTTCTACTTTGGCTTTGATTCTTGTTATAACGGCGCAATGGGTGATCAAGAACGGGGACGCCGCCGTCCCTTAGACGACTCCGATCGCAGTCCAAGATCAGTGCAAGAGCCGGTAAGTGCTTAAAATGCTTATTACTCTATAAATTTAATATATATAAATTTATAATAATATAAATTTGTATATACAAACATGGAAGATTACTTGATTGTATGCATTTTTGTTACACACACACATAAGTGTGTGCGGTATGATTTTGAGCGCGGCGTCGTTAGTTGCTTAGAATTCCGTTATCTGCACTCTTGAAACATAAAGCTGAGCCACTTCAGTTGAATATGCTGATGCAGACATTTGACAATGTATATGTATGTTTGTGTAAGACAGAATAAATGTTCATTTTGAAATATACATATGTACATATAAACAAACGCATATGGATATGACTATACACACATATGCGTATGCTTTTTTGTATATGCTTTAAGCATTCATTTTGTTTTTATTCAGTGCATACAAGCTTCCGTATACCGTCTGCTAACATAAAATGATGTTTAAAAAGTTTAGGAAAAAAAATCGTACTTGTAAAAAAAGGCAAAACATCTGAATTGGATTTCTGAGCGCAAATTAGCAATAAACAGGATTGGTATTAGATATCATAAAAATGGCAAAACAAAAAGATAAAAGTTTAAGAAAGTAAAATATTTCAAGTGTTTCTAGCTATCATGCCAAGAATATGCCCAATTTTAGATGAAAAATACCTAAGCTTGCAAGCATAGTTATCACTACTCAAGATTTCATTATGTCTGAAATATGGTATAGAGTAAAGGAGTAGCGTGGTGATTTACATAGGCAAAAGAAAAAACGAAGCGCGACAGGCTAAGTTCACAGGTTACGTCTCTAGTGTACGCAACTACAACACATACATATGTACATAGATAGATTAATGAATGCTGTTCATAACGTTATTGTAACTGTAACTACAACTGTAAACATTGTGCATACGACATGTATATACTTGTTTGCGAAATGTGGCGTGTGTATAATAGTATACACATAATCGTGCTCCAATGATATTTTAAATAAACGATTTTAATTTCGTTTTGTCGAAATATCGATTTTCTTAGTGCTGGACCGCAAAAATAATAGGTGTTGCCAGACTATCAACAACAAAAAATATGCTGAGCTTTGTCAGGCTCTAAAGGCTTTTTAAGTTTTTGATTCAGCATAACCAAAGACAAGATGGATATAGCCATACAACAAAATACTACTAAGCAGCAGGATTGTTAGCAGGATCTTTATCATTGCGCTCTCCCAACTGAAAGAGCGAAAAAGCTAAAAATAGAATGTACCTTCAGCATCGGCTCTATAAACGCCGCGCAAGCAATCATGTTTGTATGTGTGTTAAAATGCACAGCTCTACTGTTCTGGCTTTTGCTGGCAAAGAAATAAATTCTGTTAGTTTTCTAGCGCTGATCATGATCTTTCCCAAATTTGTATTCATATATGAATGCAATATGTTGTGTGTATGAGGTTGGCTCAGTAGAAAATCTGTATTTTTCAGTCAATATAATTTTTTTTAATTTCATGTGTGTGTGGCATGTCGTGTGAGGTGGGAAAAGCCAGATGACAAGCCAGGCTAGAATGTGTGGGCCTTACTCATCTTAGGGTTTTTATTGTCTTTGGTATAACCTTGTAGAAAAAAGAAATTTTTATCCTTTCACACGATGAGTGGGTAAAATGAAATGCATTCAAATTATGACAAATAAAAACTCTGATCCATACACTCAAAAATAACTTCTTTTGAAATATAAGTCTACATATATTATAAAAAGTAAAAAGTTAATATACTCATCTTCTCCAACACTAGTTTTGGTAAAAATCCCTTTTCTATGCAAGTCTCATTACTTCAAGTAAGACTTCCAAGTTTCGATTTATGATTCCAAAAAATATTTATTTGTTTGATAAAAAATATATTTTCCAAACATTGCCAATTACGACATCTGCTATATAAATAAGCAAAATATATTATTAATATCAGATTTGTATATACAAATATTTTACAAATGTCTGGGCATTAATTATAAGCTGAAGTTAGTCTTTAATTATTATTTCCCTCTTAACTAAACTTTTAATTTGTATTATTTTTTTCCAATTTGTAAACAGCGAGCAAAAGTTTTCCGGGATGATGGCCCCCATAATAGAGATAGGTCGGAGGCTTCGAGCTCATACAGAGCTTCATCATACCATGGAGCCTCTACATCCCGTGGCATTGTCGGCTCAGCAGCTTGCGCCGCAGAAGCCCCATCAGTGTCTGGTGCAAGTGCTCCATCAACTCATGGCAGTGATCCCCATACTCAACGTAGGCGAGTTGATCGGTATGAAATTGTTAATTCAAGACCGGCGGATATCGTGACTAAACGGGGACAGGATGGTACACCAATTAAATTGTTGTCAAACTTTTATCGTTTGAAAACCAAACCACAATGGCGCATTGTCCACTATCACGTGGATTTTGCGCCTGAGGTCGAGGTGGTGCGAGTGCGTTGTGGAATATTATCAGAGCATGCCCGAATCTTGGGCACCGGCTACCTTTTTGATGGCGCCCAGCTGTTTACGACCAAGAAATTTGATCAGGATGTAACAGTGCTGCAGGCGACCTCAAAGCAAGGCGTCAATTACACAATTACCATCAAGTTTGTGGGCTATATATCGGCAGCTGAGCCGCGCTTTCTGCAAGTGTTGAATTTAATTTTGCGTCGCTCAATGAAGGGTCTTAATTTGGAGCAGGTCGGACGTAATCTTTTTGATCCGCACGCACGGGTAATGTATAATGGATATTGAATAGTTTCAGAAAATATAACTAAACTAATACGTTTTAAGATTAAACTGTTTGATGTGGAGCTTTGGCCAGGCTACGAAACGTCCATCCGTCAG